AAATTGTAATAATATTTTATAATATTACTGTTTTACTGTATTTTGGTCAAATAAATGCAGCCTTGGTGAGCATAAGAGACTTCTTTCAAAAACCTTAAAAAAATCTTACTGACCCCAAACTTGAACATATATGTATATTTATGTATATACTAGGCTTGCCGCGATAGACGGTGTGAACTAAAAACGAACAATTGCTTTACTCCGAATTGCCGCTATTTTAAAGTGAAAGTAAAATGGGCACACCGCTTTTACAAGCTATTTAAAAGCGAAGGAAAGCGAGGAAAAGAGGGAACGCCCCTGTGCCCGCGGTGATACCGGTATTACCGGTGTTGTCACACGCCGATTAACCGGTGGGAAAATTTCCTCACCGACACAACCCTAGTATATACTGTATGTATATTTATTTGTGCATATATATTTATATTTAGATATATTTAAATGTCACCAAGGCAGTGTAAACTGTATATTTTCCACTGACATGAAGTCACGGTTTTCTTTAGTAACAGATTTATTTCAGTCACGCTTGTACTTTACATCAGGGTCAGATGATCATTCTCAGAGTTTGATTTAAACCATATATTATGTTGCAGTTCCTAAAAAAAAGTTACCAACCAACTAACGAGTAACACTCAACTTAGCGCTTGGCAGGTGTTCATTTTGGACTCTGGATATGAGCTATTAAACTATGTTTGTTAGCTCATCACATCCCTGTGTTTTTCCTCTCAGGTTGGCACTCAGGACTTCGCCAGGCATTACCACGCTACTTACGTGTCCTGGGCCTTCGCGTATCTCCTGGGCCTCATCTGTCTGGTACGGGCCTGCTACTGGGGAGCGATTAAAGTCAGCTATCCAGAGAACACCTTTGCATAGACAAAGCGTCCATCCTTCAAGTCCTTAGTGTTTGATTTCTCTTGTTTTAAACAGGTTAACTGTTACAAGAACATAAGAATCCAGGGGGTGTAGGTACCTGCAAATGCTTCAGATTGAGTTATTGATTAGCTCTGATGTACCTGTAATTGATTTGAACCCGCAATATGATGGCTTGAGGAATTAAAGTGAAATCTGTCATTCAAAAACTAGAAGACTAATACAAATAATCCATTCGTGGTAAATCCGTGTATCATTCGATCATTCGTTTTTTGATTTAATATTGAAAGTAGAAAAATGAGAAAACGGCTCCTTTTTCGTTTTTTTGTTTTTTTCCGAAAAACGAAAAACGAGAATTCAGCTTAAATTTACGTTTTTCGTTCATGGGTGGAAAAATGAATAAACAGCTTGAATATTTGATTTCTACACGTGGGCGGGAATTAAACGCCCCTTTCTGCTGATTGGTCAGCCGAAGATCAAACCGTGCCTTCATCAGTTCTTCCGCAGTATCACGCAGCAGAATAATAGTCCTCCGCTGCTGCAATCCATACAACTGCAGCAGTGGAGGACTATTATTCTGCTGCGTGATACTGCGGAAGAACTGATGATGGCACGGTTTGATCTTTGGCTGACCAATCAGCAGAAAGGGGCGTTTAATTCCCGCCCACATGTAGAAATCGAATATTCAAGCTGTTTATTCATTTTTCCACCCATGAACGAAAAACGAAAATTTAAGCTGAATTCCCGTTTTTAGTTTTTCGGAAAAAAACAAAAAAACGAAAAAGGAGCCGTTTTCAAATTTTTCTACTTTCAATATTAAATCAAAAAACGAATGATCGAATGATACATGGATTGTGGTACACCTCTTGGATTTGTATTGGTGGGTGGATATCAAACATATTTTACGTACTGCATTTTGTTACCAACTTGACCAAAACAGATGATCTTTTATGAACAGTTTGCCCATTGCACTACAATTTTATGCAATTCTTCTGTTGTGTTGCTGCTAGTTACTACAGCCGTTCTGAGCTGAGAGATGTTATGTGTTCAGAGAGCCTGCCAGCACCCACGGTGGCACTATCTGTCACGTTCAGATATATTTAACTGTTCTTAAAATCCTGTGCCAACATTTTTTTGTTGTTCAGTGTCCGTTAGGGAATCTCCCTCTGATGAAATTTAGCAGTATTTCCAAACCCATTTAGGCCGCTCAAACTCACTGTGAGCAATAATCATGCATTTTTTGTGGCTTTAAAAGAAAAACTGAATGTACACAGTCACTGGAGCTCTAAAACAAAACTATGGGTTCAATGCAACTTAAGCTCATTCGACAGTTTTTGTGTCATGATATTGATTGTTTTGCACAAAAATCATTTTGACTATACAAACAAACAAAAAAGCATTGACGCAATGGAAGTGAATGGGACCAATTCATAAACATTAAAATACTCTGTCGTTCAATAGTATAGCAGCAAGACATTTAAGCAGCAAGATTTTATATGCCTTCCAAAGGCTGAATTTATTTAATCAAAAAATACAGTAAGTACAGTAATATTATAAAATATTATTACAGTTTCAAATAACTATGTTCTGTTTTAATATATTTCAAAATGTAATTTATTGCTGTGATGTCAAAGCTGAGTTTTCAGCATCATAACTCCAGTCTTCAGTGTCACATGATCCTTCAGAAATCATTCTAATATGCTGATTTGAAAACAGTTGTGCTGCTTAATATTTTTGTGGAAACTGATGCATTTTTTTTTCATATTTCTATTATGAATAGGAAGTTTAAAACTTTTATTTGAAACAGAATTTAGTTCATCTTTGATGTGTCCTTGCTGAATAACAGTATTAATGTATTTGCAATAAATAATAAATAAATATGACAAAAGAACACCTAAAACCACTTAAAAATGACTGTTGTACAGAAGAATTAATGTACGTGCAGTTATAAAATTATAAGATCACATTTCTACTTTTAAATACTCCAAAATTGACCCCAGTCACTTCCATTCTAAGAGACTCACTGTAACCTTGATTTTTTCTGAAACCTGTTGAAAGAAAACGAGTTGAAAATATATATGTTTGTGACCACAAATGCTTGATCTTAACTTGTATTGAACCTGAAATATTCCTTTAATTTAACTCGCTGATCAGACACTTGGTGAATGGGCATGATTTTAATTTGATTCTTTTGTACTCAGAAACAGTGTTTTGTTAGTCTGTTACTGACAGGGCGCAGTGGAAGTGTTGCGCCATGTGTCTAGTGCTCTTTCCTGTGTGTAGAATGTAAACGCCCCACTGCCACCCGCCTAATTCCACAACTCACCACAACCTTGCTAGTATTGCTGTAGCTTACATTTACAGTAGTTCCGTATTTTGTCAAGACAAATGGAGATAACTATACTATCTAAACTTGTTCTGAATGTGACGAGCCAGTGAAGTCCTTGTACATAGGAAACTGAGCACACAAAGTCTGTAGTTCAAGTTGGAATATGGCTTGGGTCTTTTTAAAACAATAATTTCTCAATAAAATGCTAAAATATTCCTTGCCCTTTGACGGTGTGATGCTTCATGCCAGCTTGACATGAAATGTCATTTTATTTTTGACGTATAATCGCAAATATGTTATTTTGCCAACACCAAATGGTCTTTCAAAGGTCAGGCTGTCATTAGACATGGTCACCTATAGCAGCGGACAACAGGGCCCTCGTTGTTATTCACATACGCTGATTAGACTTCTTCCTTTACGGTGAATCATATCTTGCCACAAAATAAGAAATTATAAAAAATACAGTTGTGGTGAAAGGTTTACATACTCCTCGCAGAATCTGCAAAATGTTCATTATTTTGCCAAAATCTAAGAGGGATCATACAAAATGCATGTTATTGTTTATTTAGTACTGTCCTGAATAAGATATTTTTCGTGAATTTATAATGTATATTATTTATGATTCACTGTTCTTCAGAAAATCCTCCAGGTCCTGCAAATCCTTTGGTTTTCCAGCAGTGATTGAGAGATTCATCTTTTCACACTGATGACAACTGAAGGACTCATACACAACTATTATAAAATGTTCAAACATTCATTAATGCTCAAGTGTAATGCTAAAATGTTACAAACATTCATTAGTGCTCAAGAAGAAACATGATGCATTAAGAGCCGGGGGTGTGAAAAAATTTTTAAATTTGAAAATCAGGATGAAGTATACTTATTTTGTCTTCTGTAGCTTAATAAAGGCAGTACTAAATGAAACAACAACAAAAAAAAGGGGGGCGGAAAATGACTTCATCCTGTACTAATTTTTCTGCCCTTAATGCATCTTGTATCGTTCTGGAGCATCGGTGAACATTTGAATCATTTGTAATGGCTGCATATGAGTATATATACTGTTATGAGTATGTTTGCGTGGAAATTGTTCAACCATGACCTCCTGTTTCACAGGGGTATAAATAAGAGGTAACACATAGGCCAAACTCCCTTACTCATTCATCACAATGCAGACCAAAGAACATAGCTGTGATGTGCAGCAAATGGTTGTTGAGCTTCACAAAATGGGAAGTGGCTACAAGAAAATAGCAAAAACACTGAAGATGCCCATTTCCACTATCAGGACAATAATTAAGAAATTCCAGCCAACTGGAAGTGTTATGAATCAGCCTGGAAGAGGACAGGGGTCTATCTTGTCCCAACACACTGTCGGGAGGATGGTTCGAGATGCTGAAAAACCTCCAAGAATCACAGCTGGAGAATTGCAGAAGTTAGTTGGGTCTTCACATATAAAATTTTGAACTCGCATTGTTATGCTGACTATACATTTAAAGAAATGAAAAAAAGTCTAAAATTGTGGTATCCATATTATTGGACCACACTGTATATTTTCAAAAAACACTAGATTAGTTCATTTATGCCAATATATTTGTTTCTTTCCAATCCACTGGATGGCAGTGTTGATTCTTGAGCGATGGACGTGGCACTAAATGAGTCATCTGGCTCTGGGAAATAGTCTGGCACAATCAGTCCTGACTCCTGACCAAGAAGAGCTTTCATATGCTGTCGCCATCTCCAAACTCCATATTTCATGTAGAAAAATTCCAAGAGAGATTCAATGAAAATAAGCCAGTACATCCACTTAGAAACTTTATTAATCACTTGATACTATACCTCCACTTGGCAAAACTTAAGACGAAAATTGTGGTTGGTCACATTAATTTCATATGTTCATTCTGAGCTGACAAACTACATGGAATACAAGAACAGAAGTATATCTTCTCAAATAAATGGTCATGTCAAGTGCTGCTACGCGAGGAGACACAGACCTGCGCTACAGACAGACTGACAGCACTCAACACTGTACTGTCACGGCACAGATAAATACATATCTTACGCATCTCTGATGGGATTGGAGCGCTATCACTGGAGAACAAAGATCTCATTGCTTTATTTGCTATCCTCTACAGTTTACGCTACTCCTATAGAGCTAAGAATGTAACAACATTGAAAGCAAGTGCTAGTCACTATGACTATACAGCAAATATGAACACAACGTGTTCCTGATGACAGGGATACAGATGTCAGTCCAGGCTTGTGTGGTCCTCGTAATGTCTGCTGTCATCTAACGGGAGTCGACAGATTCTAGTTATTGTTGAGGACCCACCATGATGCTGTGGAAAGAAACAAATGAATAAACAGATTTATTATGATATACTTTTAATATAGCAAATAAATATAAAAATATAAAGCGTTTCTGTACTGTAGTTTACCTGGAACCAGCATAGTTGTCATAATCTCTGGCGTCTCGAAGAAATCCACATTGCCTCTCTGGAAGGTTTTGCTGTAATTAGTCTGCAGATGACTATAAATAGAAAACAAATAGGCTTTTTATCCAGTTATTGCAATTCCTTGATTGCAATAAGAAAGCTTTGGGACTGTATTAATATTGAAGCTTGTGAGAAGTGGTTTGAAAGAGTGAAAATGTGGGAGCGACTTACTTCTTCCACATGTTGCTTTGCTCCCAGAACTCATACAGTATGAAGCGGGATTCGTTGGCAAGCCGCTGAACTGCAACACTGCCGAGAGAGCAGAGCCAGTGTAGGATTAAAGGGGTCATATGATGTTGCTAAAAAGAACATTATTTTGTGTATTTGGTGTAATGAAATGTGTTTATGCGGTTTAAGTTTCAAAAATTACATTATTTTCCACATACTGTACATTATTGTTTCTCCTCTATGCCCTTGTACTGTCTTTTTATGCGCTGCGTTGCATCGCGCCGCGTAAACATAAAACCATGTCTGCGGTTTCTCCACTCTGCTCACACTGTACATTGTGACGTAGACATGTGAGGGCGTGTTAGAACGAGCTGTTTTAGGTAGGTGTGGCTGACTCTTAACTTTTATAAAGAATATCTCTTTGGATTTGAGACTTTAGTCTTTGCAACTTTACAGATCTTCTTTATGCACCAAGAGCTTGTAACACTCCAAAGAGAAAGGAAAAATTGAAATCGCATCATATAACCCCTTTAATATCAAACGTGTTTGCTTAAACTGGTTCTTTAGAGTTTGAAATGACTCCATAAAGTTTAAAGCTCTAATTCGGTGTTGTTCAAAGGATTTCAGAAAAGTTAAAAAAAATTTAAGGAATGTAAAATTAAAATTGCATCTTTGTATGTAATTTCATAATTACTTCTATTGTCTTTGAAATATGATTAAAGTGTCAAATATACTGACATGCATTTATAATAAAATTAAATTAAACATGTCTGTCATGTATTTAAATATATTGTGTAATTACACATGAAGTTGCAATTTAAATGTAACATTGATTACGTTAAATTTAACATACAATCAAGTATTTGACATATTCTTAGCATGTCATCAACACAAAAATAAGCACACTTAAAGCACGACAAAAGATTAATAAAAGCATGATTTATAGTAATTTAAAATGTACTTTTAAACAAATTTGCATTATTTAAAGTGAGCTCTCTAAGTAATGGCCGTTTATTTTAATATATTATCTGCAAGTACAGTTTTTTTTTATTTGTAAGATTTGAAATACAAAAGTGTACACTTAATACAATTAAGGACACTTGTTTGTCTCGATACTTTAATTTTGTAATTTTTAAGCCATAGTCCACATTCACTTTTACTAAATGTAAAAGAGCAGCATGAACATTCAACAAAACATCTCATCCCACGGAAGGAAAAAAAATGTCATACATATTTGGAACATATATGGAACAAAATAAGGGTAAGTAAATGAAGTCAGCAATATAATTTTTGGGTGAACCATTCCTTTCATTAACAAATAACGTGAATATTGGTAAGCCATCAAATCCTTCAATGTTCTGGTGTAAAAGCTTGTCAGTGAGTCATTTGAACTGAAGCGCTTGAAGCAAGTCAATTATTTAATAATCCAAAACAGAATTCTTCATCCAAGCCATTCCCACTGTTAATTAAGCTCATAATTAAACCAAACCAATGGTCTACCTTTATTAGAAAATGTTCCAGACAAATCAACTGCTACCTAACGTAATCACTGACATTTTTGTGATGTCTGAGTTAAAAGTCAAACCTGGACTGAGGGCTCGTAAACACACGGCCACATGCTCACAGCACGATGCAATTCACGGACCGCTGTAAGCTTGCTGACGTTACACAGGCTCTGCCACGTGAGCGACTGGATGTCTTGTCTTAAATATTTCTTGATTTAATTGGATTCTAACAGTAATAATTACAGGTATTTCTTAGACAGCCCTCATGCAGAAAACAACAGCCTCCAACTGTGAAATGAAACATCTAATTCATTGAATTCAAACACATGGATGTGAATACTGATCGCTTGGAGAACTGGCCTAGACTGACCCTTACAAACCAAGCTGTATGCAAATGCACCAGACAGTCACCCAGATGCCGTGGCGGTGTGAACTCACTGGAGGCAGCCGGTCTGGGCGCTGGCGCAGTCGATGTACTGCCGGAGAGCCAGACGAAACTCCTCCACTTCCTCCTCCAGCACTGAGAGCTGCCTCTGCACGATCAGGATGTGCTGGGAGGGAGGTCACGGAAGAGAGCAGCAGTCAGAAAACATGATTCATATAGGATTCCAACCATGCGTTATTTATAAAAGTGTGCAAAACTGTTCCTCAATCAGTTTTCTCTTGCAGTACATGAAGTACTCTCATGTCGTTCCAAACCTGTAACACCTTTGTTCATCTTTAGGACACAAAAATGAAGATATTTTTTGATGAAATCCGAGAGCTCTCTGTATAGTAGGGATGTGCGGTATACCGGTACTGGAAAAATACCGATATATATTATATTTCAAACGACTGTCTATGGAGGGTCAGAAAGCTCTCAGATTTCATCAAAAATATCTTCATTTGTGTTCCGAAGATGAAAAAAGGTTTTATGGGTTTGGAACGACATGAGGGTGAGTAAATAACATAGACTGTATAAAAACATGGACGTAGTGTCCGTGACGTCACCCGTAGGTTTCCGAAGAGCGTTTTTGAAGCCTAAAGTAGGCGGAGCCGGCCGTCGCCATCTTGGCAGCGCGTCACCGCGCGTCACTCCCGGATAATCGAAAATGGGCAAAGAGGCGGGAGCTGGTTGCTGAAACCACGCCCACCTAGCTCGACGCCGGTGACAGCAGCGGCAATCCACCTGTCACTCAAGTGGCCACGCCCTTAATTATGCAGAACTTTAAGGCTTAATGTAGTTTAAACGGATGAGTTATTAAAAAAATTCACCCCCCTCACAGTTGCCATGAAGGGCAAAATTAGCTATATAGACCAAAATCATTTTTTGAACCAGGCTGTAAACATGTTTTTTTCTGCTGTAAAGTTGGGCATTTTAACATGGGGAGTTTATGGGATTGACTCCCTTTTGCAGCCAGCCTCTAGCGGCCAGTTGACGAATTACAGTTTAAGTCACTTCCTTGTTGGCTTCACCAACGGGAGAGCGGGAGGTTGCCGCTTGGTAAATAATGACATGAATGTTCATTTTTGGGTGAACTAACCCTTTAAACATCTTGTTCCGACAATATGTCAGATCATTTTTTTAAATATTCCCTATAAAAGATAGAGATAATATGCAAAGTATCTACAAGCTGAAATTGAACCTGGACCAAAAAGGCAAGGTGAGAGGCACTGTAAAAAATTTCTATTTGAACTTCTATTTAAAAATGTTGTTTATTTCTGTGATGGTAAAGCTGAGTTTTCAGTATTATTACTCTAGTCTACTCCAGAAATCATTCTAATATGCTTATTTGATGCTCAAGAAACATTTCTTATTATCAGTGTTGAAAACAGTCAGGGGCTGCTTATTATATTTGTCATTTTCCAGGATTGTTTGATGAATATACATTTCAAAAGAACAGCATTATTTGAATAACTTTTGAATTAATTTCTATAAGAAAAAAGAAAATTTACAGGCCTCAAACATGTGTATTTGTGTGTGTCATCATATTTTTTTTGTTTCAACACTATAGAGCACTGAATCCAACAGGGCTTGATGGGGTCGGATTAAAACATGACTAAAACATAAAATTCCCACCTATGGTGCTGTGACTCAGATCGGTGTGAGAATAAAGAGAAACCCCTCAGGTCTCGAGCATCAGGTAAAGCCATGAAGACGCACGTCATAATAGCTACTTTTTATAAAACAGGCTGTTGACAGGTGAATGGGAGCTGAAGAGAACAGGAACTGAGAGTTTGTACCCTGCGGGACATAGTGACCTCTCCACAGGCCCTGTGCTATTGCCATTTCCAATCTTTCACAAACTAACTCTCTCTACAAATACACACAGAGGAAACTGCATTTTGTTTCAATGCTGTTTTTGTGCAATGCATCCCAAACTATTAAATTCCCATATTTATCTGCTACAAATGAATGTAATGTCAAGTAGAAAGACTGTCCTTTATAAGTATCCTCAAATCAAGGAGATCTGCTTTGAACATAATCAGTCCTATTAGCATAAATCACAGCTGAAGTAAGACTTGAATGCTAAATGAACACAAACAAAGCGATGAAATGATACAGAGGCATTAGCAATGCTGAAATTGTTATTCCATGCATACAGTTTGAATGTCACGGTCTGTTTAGATAACCGACAAATGACAAATTGATGAGAGACTATTTAACTTCAGCCATGAAATAGAGTTTCATAGCCCATGGAGAGATAAATGCTTCTTCATTTGGATGTATGAGAAAGTGATACACACAAATGCAATAAATCAGACTTGAAATATCGCTCATAATAAACCGACTGCTAGATCGCACATTTGTTTGTGCAAAGGATGTTTGCAAAAAAGCCTTGTGAAATGGGATGGGAGTCTTATTTGAAAAATAAACTACTCATTTGTGTGTAATGTTATGCTTCAGCACGTCCAATATGATGTTGTATTGTGTCTCTGTCGGCAGTCACGCATAACTGTGTTTACAGCCAGTCTCCGCAGGGGTCTGGATACCACTCTTCTCCCTGTCGTTCACAAGCATAGAGTCACAGACACACAAACCGCCTATTCAAAGTCTGTCAACAGCATCTTGTGAGCCTCCGAGGAAAGCTCTCTCAAAGTACTGCGCAAAAGATGCAGAGCCAAATGAGAGAGGAAGAGTGATAGACGGAGGAAAAAAGGAAATCAAAAAGAATAACTTGGAACTAGTTTTTCGATCCTGTTTCCTAGACGACAGGCGTCTGTGGTCTCTGTGAATGATTTTCGGAGAATACGGTGACATACAGGCTGACCATAAATGACTTACTGATTTGGTGGAGCTTTCCAACACCTCTTCTTCCACCGGCTCCAAACGCAGTTCCTATGAAAGAAACACAACCAGTTTGACCACATCTCTGTTTGAATCTCATGACAACAAAAATCAAAATTAAATATAAGAAATTATATTTTGCATTAAAAAATTCAACCTGTTTTTTAGGATAATCATTTTTGCATGACTATGAAGTATATTTTACCTAAAAATTCATATTACCATTAGGGTTGGGCCGATAGACGATGCCATCGTCCATCGCCTATGGCTGACAGACATCACGATGTTGAGCCAGCATCGTGATCTCCCCGAATTCTAGTTGGGTAATTACACTAAATTGCGGCGCATCAGGGAGCCGCTACTAATATGCAGGGCATTGAAACCGCTATCGAATGCGTGCTCTCATTTTACTTTCACTTTCACTTTCGAGATTCACGATCACACGGACTCTATACTATGGAGCGGCAGTACCTACCACACATTTGACAAGATTCGATATTTGTCAGTTGTGCTCAGTATCTGCAAATCATTCGCCATTGTCCTATCAGTTATCTCTGTGTATGTGGTAAGTGAACTTTCATGTACTGTAATGTAACAGTCTACCGCTAGCAAGCGGCTAACCATGTACCTTTAGTGGCTCCTTAGAACGCGTTATCTGTTTTCCGTGCCTTTCTGCAAACGGATTCACGCTTCGGGCACACCCCCTAACCTCGCCCCCCGATGCCATCATCCATCACGATGTTTCATTGTAGACATCGTCCAATGCCAATTTGGTAGACATCGCCCAACCCAAATTACCGTAATGCAAGAAATATCATTCTTATCAATGTAATGCATCTTTCATGTTCTGTACTGTAACAGTCTACCGCTAGCAAGCGGCTAACCATGTACCTTTAGTGGCTCCTTAGAACGCGTTATCTGTTTTCCGTGCCTTTCTGCAAACGGATTCACGCTTCGGGCACACCCCCTAACCTCGCCCCCCGATGCCATCATCCATCACGATGTTTCACTGTAGACATCGTCCAATGCCAATTTGGTAGACATCGCCCAACCCAAATTACCGTAATGCAAGAAATATAATTCTTATCAATGTAATGCATCTGGGCATTTATTTATTTGTTTTTATTTTTATTTAATTTATTTGTTTATTTATTTTGCAATATCCATTATTCTCAGTAGTGATTTTCATTAGATTCTCATTATTGTAATGTAATTTTTGGTTACACTTTAAAGGTTTCCTTGTTACAGTATAATTGCACATATAAGTGCGGAGTAATATTAATTAACTACATGTACTTATTATATGGCTAGAGTTAGGATTAGGGTTTGGCTTAGGGTTACTTGCATGTAATTACGCATAATTTATTGTTATTATAATAGTAAATGCATGTAACTTGTAACAAGGACACCTTAAAATAAAGTGTTAGCCAATTTTTTAATAAGTATAAATTAAAGAAGTTTTCTTTTCAGTAACGCAATGAGATACATCTCATAGTCTTAAAAATAGACTTCATTTTTTAAGCAGAATATTATTTTATATCTTATAATATGACAATATGACTGAAACATGTTCTTGACAGGTTTCATGACATTTACCCTCAAATGAATTGTAAAGTTAGAAGGAAGAGTGATGACGGACAGAGAGAAAGCATTATAATGAGAAAGACAGAAATCATTTGTGTAGCCTATTGCCTTTTTCTCGAGACGGTCGATCAGCTTTTGCAGTCTGTTGATCTGAGTTATCCATTGATTGTCCTCTTCATACAGACCTGTAGAAACACACATAGAAACACACATTTCAGCACACAAATACAGCTCTTTCTCTTGCCATATGGCTCTAGGAGGCACTTGCTCTGGCTGAATGTAATTGAATTGGAATCTAATTGTATTGGGAGTGTTATTTTGGCAGCATGTTTTATGGCATGCTCTGTAAAGGATTGTTTATTAATTTGATAATCTCATCATGTTTTCTATTAGCAACACTGTCACCTTCACTGTCCCCTTCTTTCTCTGGAGTCTGTCCCATAGTCATTCCTCACAATCCCTCCTACCTAAACTTCTTTCCAGATCTGCTGTCAACTGCATGCCCACTGGCTGTGTGTATGTGCCCTTTTCTTCCTCCAGAGCACTGAGGCTCAGAATAATCACCTGAATTGACAAGGTTCAGAAGTGGGTTGTTCGGAGACAAGCTGTTCCTCAAATGAATTGTAAAGTTAGAAGGATGATTGATGACAGAGAGAGAAAAAGCATTATAATGAGAAAGACAGAAATCATTTGTGTAGC